ATATACAATAAACAATGTATAGTAACTAGTTGATCAAACAACAATATACAATAAACAATGTATAGTAACTAGTTGATCAAACAACAATATACAATATTTAATGTACTAGTTTTACCCGACCCGTCAAAAAATGATGGGTTTGAGTTCTGTAAAAAAACGGGGGCCTTGCCCTTCCTTCAGAAAAATGTATTCACCCAACGTTCATCATAAAATAAAAACAATCACACGTTGAGAAAATGTTAAGATACAGTTTAGATGACTTTTGGACCTGTTAGCTGATGTGACCTATAAAGTTAAGGCGGCTTTTGCTTTTTAAACTGTTGTGACCTATAGAGTTAAGACAACTTTTGCTCTTGTAAGCTGAGGTGAAATATAAAGTTAAGATGGCTATTGTCTTTCTAAGCTGAAGTGTCCCATACAGTTAAGACGGCTATTGTCCCTGTATGCTGATGTGAACAATATAGTTAAAATGGCTTCTATAAATCTAGTCGAAGCACTTTTGTATAAACTGATCGAATTATAGCTTTATATTTCAAATTTCCTTTTTGAATGATTATTTACATGAATTTATAACAAGCATCAAAGTAATGTGAAATTGTCGAGAGAAATATATATGCTATATAATTATAGACTACCTCTATAGTTTCTAAACTTTAATTTCAATTTACTTTTCAACCTTAGAGTAGTAAGTATCTTTAATGTTTTTGCAAAGTTTGAGAATGAGTAAGGCGTTATGGTTTTAATATGTGATGATAAAAAAGAGAAGGCTTTGGATTCCTAGGTACGCTTGGTACCTTCTTTAAAGGAAATTATCTTACATACGAATATACATATTTGAGGATAAGAAATTAAAACTTGGAAACAGAAATGTGAAAACAGTGAGTATTACTGAAACATAAAACGTTATTGAAATTTTAAATTCATATAAATACACAGTTCGTTTTTATTATACGTTACAATATTGTTTTCCATTTGGATGGGGGTAGGGAATTTTGAATCATCTACAGTTAGCCAAAACATTAATATCCAATGTAAATCGAAACAAGATTCTATATATCATCCAGATTTAATAAAATACGGAAAGTTCGGTACAATTTTGTCCTAAACGCAACAGATGGCAGCACTAGCACTAGAACTATGAATATTATTTTTGTCTTAAACACAACAGATGGCAGCACTAGCTTTTACTCACCTACACATAATCTGATGCTGCTATTCAATATTCAAAGATTATTTCCTCGGTGAGACAGTGGTAAGTTTAATAACTTACAACGCTAAAATCTGGGGTTTGATTCCCTGCAAGGGGACACCAAAAAACCCCAGTGATACAGCGGTAAGTCTGTAGGCTTATAACGTTAAACATCGGGCTTCGATACTTGTGGTGGGCAAAGCACAGCTAGCTCATTGTGTAGCTTTGTGCTTAAAGAAAAACAAGCATCAAATATATTAAAATCCACAAACGAACAACGTTTTATAACACACAATTAAAATTTTTATTTAAACCGATCAACGGTTCTAAAAGTCACTCTACATGTTTCAACGTGGTTTCACGTCATCTTCAGGTGTGGGAAAAACAGAGAACTTGCTAGAGTTCGCTAATTACTTAAATAGTCTTGAACCCTCTATTCAATTTAACCATGAAGTTGAAGAAAACAACAGATCAAAGTTTTTGGACGAATTTTTAAAGAAAAACAAGAATAAGTTAGAAACTACGGTCTATCGTAAACATGCCAAGAATCATGTCATTCAAAGTCACAAAAAATGTCAGCTTTTTTACTGTTACATTTACAGGTCTTTCAGCGGATTTACAAATGAACTGTTACTTATTAAACAAGTAGCATCATATAGAGGTTTCTCGCCTCATATTGTTGATAGAGTCGTGAGGAAATAAATATTGAACAAAAAAGAAAACTAAAATAAACATTTCATAAAATATATAAAAATAAATGTTCTCTGTACCATATGTCCAAGGTTTATCATCTCAATCTTTTCATAAATTCAGAAAACAAAACAAAAAATCGTATTGTTATTCCCAGACCATTGAATTGTTTGTTTGTAGTTAAGCACAAAGCTACACAATGGGCTATCCGCCCACCACGGGTATCGAAACTCGGTTTCTAGCTTTGTAAGTCCGCAAACATACCGCTGTTCCACTGGAAGGCTATCTGCTGTATACATCGCGGGGAATCGAACCCCAGATTTTAGCGTTGTAAGTCCTTAGACATGTCACTATCACACCGGGGGACGACCATTGAATAAAATTAATCAAATATTAAATAAACCTATAGATGAAATAAATCAAATGGATAAAACAGGTATATATATATATAAAGATGAATGTGAATTTGGTCGTGCATACATTGGTCAAAGTAGAAGAAACTTAAAATTTAGAATAAATGAACATAAGCGAAAAGTTAAAAATAAAAGTGAAAACTCTGCACTAGCTAAACATGTAATTTATACTGGACATGTCATCCAGTGGGGAAAAAAACGGTTATTTTGGCTCAACCGAATAATATGCCTTATAATAAGGATGAAGGGTTAGGAAACCAAAAAGCATGTAGATGGCGTGATCTTCTTTTTTGAGTTGTAAACTAGTAGTCCCGAAACTTACAAATCTAGTCAAAATACACGTACATGAAACACAAGCTGTCCAGGGCCTGATATCAAATGGTATCATTTTCTGGTATCAAAAATACACAGTCGAGCCCACCAAAACACCAGCGGTAGTTGTAACCCAATGTTACAGCTGCCAACGTTACGGACATGTGGCAGCCGCATGCAAAGCTCTCCCACGCTGCTTAGGGTGTGGGGGAGAACACAGAAACACAGACTGCCCACGTGAAAACTCACAACCACATAGCTGTAACTGCCAACAGCAACACACGACAAACTATAAACGATGCCTAAAATACAAGAACATTAAAACACACATAACAAACATACTATATAACACAAACACACAAGTACAAAATCAGGAAACAAAGAGAACACAAAGATGAACACCGTTATTAACAACACCCAAACCACAAGAGACCACCAACACAAATCAACTAAACAAACATTCGCCCAGGCACTCAAAACACACACACAAACTGAAGACAACACACAACAAAAGATTAACACACAACCTACAAACACTCATAGCAAACAAATAACACATTTTATGAGTTCCTCGCAGAGAAGCCCCCAAAATCAAGAAGATTTCATTAGACTAATCATTAAAATAGCAATAGACCATCTAACACCATTACTACAACAGATCATACAATTACTTGTAGTTCCACAAACAAAACGGAACACAACAACACAGCTAACATAATTTCAGAAAGACGCATAACCTGACAACATAACATGGACATAGCCCTGAAAAGGAACGTCGTATAAGAAACAGATAGTCATCCAATCCAGATCACTTAAAACCAAAACAACAACAGTTAAGAAGGTCTAATAAGTACCTGACCCTTCCAGGTCGTCACCTAAATCCCGATGATCGACGACAAAGGTCATGGCTTTTGTACTTATATAACACACAGTAACTGTTTCCCACACACCTGAAAGTGACGTGAAACGACGCTAAAACAAGTAGATTGACTTTTACAACTGTTGATTTGTTTAAATAAGGATTTTAAATGTGTATTATAAAACGTTGTTCGTTTGTGGGTTTTAATATTTTAAACATATACACAAGTTCCCCGAATTTTAATTTCTTTTAAACATCGAAGATAACAAACTGTTTAATTAATTATATCAATCATCGTATTTCATTATAAGTTTTAAAACATTTATAAATTCTAATTTAACGGTCTTTTAATACTTTTTATCTGTGATTTAATATTCTTCCAAACTAATAAAAATGTAGAAATATTAGTAACACTGTAAGAGTTGTTTTTATTGGCGGATAAATTCATATACAGATACATATTTGAAAATTAATCAATAACTAAAATAATTAGTTTTTAGTAGTCATTTGGAATGTTCCCAGTAAAACTGCTGTAATATCGACGGCTTATAAAACCAAAATTTGAGATCTGATCCTCGCGGTGGTCTCGGCGCAGATTTCCCATTGTGTAGCTTTCCCATCACAACACAAACAATATTTTGCCACGCGCTTGTTGGCAGGAGTTGTGTCTTGAAAAGTCACCATTTTCAGACCTCTCAACAACAAGTTTTCTGACAAGTTTGTGTTGTCTAATCTTTCTCATTATCCACCACAAAATAAAACAAAAATGCTGAGAATATGTTTAGAAATAAATATATAAAGGAAACTTTGTATGTATAAAAAGAAAGTAAAAATTATATATTGTATTCTAAAGTTCTCAATACCGACACTTTCCTTATGTTAAGAGAAAACATGTAAGTACTTTGGGAAATGATACACAGTTTGTATGGTTGATATTTTAAGTTTCGAGAATTTAAAGATAACGGTTGTTAAAGTTATGTGTGGGATTCTATTCCTGTTTTTTCTGCAACAACAGTTCACTAGTTATACATTCATTAAAGTGTATAGATAATTATGTAGGATAAAACAAACCTCATTGTTCACGACTCAAACCTTCGTTATAACGTACGAAAATAATTCAATTTTTTTGTGTGCAAAATGTTGAAGATATCTTTATTTCTCACTTCCTTTCACAACTTAGTGTTTTAGTATCTACATAGCCATCTTAGCGAGGCAGATGAAATAATATAAACTGAGTATTTCCTGATCTTGTTAACCATATACATAGTATCAAATATGTCTGATAGTCATTTGAAATCCTAATCTTTTTTTTAATTTTATTTTCTAAAGATGTTATTAACATTCGAAACGGCCTAACTTTGGTTGTTTTATTTCATCGCACGATCTAATTAACTGGTTTCTAATAAGGAAAAGTGTTAAAATCACGTGTATCACGTGACTATTGTTCAACATTATCAGATTGACTTCGTTCTGTACATACAAGTATAAATATCAGGTCTCTCGTGTAGAAACATAGACTAAGAACAACCGAAGAAAGATGAAGGTAAGTATTGTACTTTATAGTAGTTTTATATTTCCTTTCTGTCGTGTGAGGGTCGTAGTTTAGTGTTGAGATTGTGAATCGGAGGGTTTATGGTTCGCGTTCCGTTGCTTTAAAAACGTGTGCTTCACTTTTGGACTGTTGGTCCTTTATAAGAGTGTTTTTGTTGTTGATGATTTTTGCACAAAGCTGTCTGGAAGAAAAGCTGGAAGAAAAGTTTCAAAACAAACGATCAATCCATCACAAGTCACGTAAAGGTTTTCTACTAGTGAAATGTTCTTGGATAGCTTTTAAATCCATATTTAAAATATTCTACGTTTAAGTTATTGTATGTACGTGTCGTGTTTTACTAAATAAGGAATTGCTAATGTTTGAATTTAGTAGACATTTGCTGAATGTCGGACTGTGTGAAATACGGTTATAAAAGACTGAAATGGTGTAATGGGTGTTTATTTGTGCAGAAACTTGACTCATTCTGTTGTTAAAGTTATATTACAACTTTGAGGTACTTTATTTAACTCGTATTGTATAACTATTTTATCATCGGTTTCTAACGACTTATCCTGATATAGAGGGTATAAATATATATATATAACACAATATATAATAGCATTACTTTAAACACGGTGAATAAGTTAACTTACTAGTGTACTAAGAGTTTGGGAAATGTTTGTAAAATATTATGACAGCATATTTTAAACACAAGTATGGTGATCTCGTTCCTTATAAACTACATATCAATAGTTTAGTTTTTAAATAAAATATTTGTTTTTCTCTAACCCCCAGACCCTTGCCGTGTTTTGTGTTACCGTCCTTCTGTACTCGGCAGTGACTGGTGAGGAGGAAGCCAAATCTTCTGAAAGTCAGGAGCTTCAAGCTGAAGCCACAGGATATGGTGGGGGATATAGTGGTGGCTCAGGAGGACTTGGAGGTGGTGTAGGAGGACTTGGGGGTGGCATAGGAGGACTTGGCGGTGGCGTAGGAGGACTTGGCGGTGGCGTAGGCGGACTTGGAGGTGGCGTAGGAGGACTTGGAGGTGGAGTAGGAGGACTTGGAGGTGGCATAGGAGGACTTGGAGGTGGCATAGGAGGACTTGGAGGTGGCATAGGAGGACTTGGAGGGGGTTTTCGAGGTTTTGGAAGCTTGACGGTCCTTGCTATTCCCATCTCTCTTGTGCCAGTAGGCGGAGGAGGTGGTGGAGTATTTAGAGGTGGAGCTGGGGGTGGTGTATATGGTACTGGAAGATTGGGAGGAGGTGTTGGAGGAGGAATTAGAGGAAGAGGTATAGGGGGACGTTACAGAAAAGGAGGAATTTGGTGGGACTAAAGGTTTGTTTTAATTTTATCCTGATCTAAGATATTCAATCGTAATTACTATCTAATTTTCACATTATAATGTAGCGATTATTTACCTTTAGTACATATATTTGTCTCTACATGCTCTGTTTACTAATGTTCAATGTTAAAGACCGTTAAAATGTAATTTTATTTTGAAATCCTAGAATCGAGTTTTATGATCGATAAATAACCATTTTGTTGTTGTTGCTATGATAAAGGTTTTGAATAATTGTGACGTTTTTCTGGAATCTTTTTTTTTACCAGATATTAAATTGAGTTTATTTAGTTAACTGTAGTGTTTATAGCTGTTTAATCTATGACATATTTAGTGTTAAGTTTTGTTAAATTGTGCTAAAAAAAGATTTTCATTTTCCAATTGATCATAAAAAATTAAAATTCTGTTTAAAAATATTATCATTTTTTTTCTTGCATATTTTCCATCCACCGCTCTTGTCTTCGTAAATGTGTTTGGAGACGATACGATATTTGGAGAAAAACATTTTCAATGTACGATATTTTATTTTACAGCTTTTTCTTTTACAAAAGAACCAAATCGCCAATAAACGAGGATTATCCACCCTGACGATATTGATAAACTATTTTTATGTCTATTATTTGATGTACTTTTTCTGAATTTTGATACAAATATTTTTGATGGATTGATTGCTATTATAAATAAACAACCTGTATCAGTAAGAGATTATTGGTACAGAACTCTTCTCTGAATAGTAACTTTCTCTAATCAGTAGAATATCTAAGATGTATAGATAAACATTAAATTCGCTGTAAATAAACCGATTTCGCTGTAGCACAATCAGAGTCCAGCATGGAAAAAGTAATATTAGGCTCAAAATCAGCAGATATTTCCTTCTCTACAATAATCGTACTGTCAGTAATTATGTGTCCGTCTCCCTGTCCGATTTTAAACTGTAAAGTTTACTTCGTACTACTTCATTCATTAAAAAAAAAACCTTTCGTTCAGCCATGAAGTCGACATGTGTATCCTTCACAAACTTTAAATTAACGGTGGCACTTCATGTGTTCACTTTTTTTAAGCTTGCTTTTGGTGTATTTCAATAAGCCTTTGATAAATACTCGCCTTGCTTTGATTCGTTCAATAACGTTATTGAGTCTTGTGCTACTTTTTCTATGATAAACTCTATCAGTCGTCAAACTAAATCTATCTGTTAGTCAAATTCGATCTGCATTCCTGATGAACACACTCAGGTTTTTAAGTGTTATTAGAGTAACTGTAAACTACATTGTTCGGTTCTGAGAGCCGGACACAGCCCGTTTAGGAGCGAGTGCCGTTAATAAGCTATATTCTCTCTGGTCAGTAGCTCACGTCCATTTAGAATATGTGTCATATAAAGTGTTGTCCAGCTTGAAAATATTCAGTACAATACCATTGTTGATAAACTGATCGTCTTAATTCTCAGTCTAATCAGTTTACAACAGGATTAACATTATGTCAACCTGAATTCTATTAGTTTGAGAAAAAGTTTAAAGATTCTAAAATCGCGTTCAATACTTTGTTATTTACACGAATATACGATATTAACTAAAGCAGAACCTATAGGATGCGAAACTATGAACAATGATTGGTTTACGATAATCTGTGGGATACGAAACGGTGAATAATGATTGGTTTACGAGTTTCGTATCCCACAGATTATTGTAAACCAATCATTATTCATAGTTTCGTATCCCACAGATTATTGTAAACCAATCATTATTCACCGTTTCGTATCCCACAGATTATTATGAATAATGAATGGTTTACAATAATCTGTGGGATAAGAAACGGGGAATAATGATTGGTTTACAAGAACCTGTAGGATACGAAACTATGAACAATGATTGGTTTACGATAATCTGTGGGATACGAAACGGGGAATAATGATTGATTTACAAGAACCTGTAGGATACGAAACTATGAACAATGATTGGTTTACGATAATCTGTGGGATACGAAACGGTGAATAATGATTGGTTTACAAGAACCTGTAGGATACGAAACTATGAACAATGATTGGTTTACAATAATCTGTGGGATACGAAACGGTGAATAATGATTGGTTTACAAGAACCTGTAGGATACGAAACTATGAATAATGATTGGTTTACAATAATCTGTGGGATACGAAACGGTGAATAATGATTGGTTTACAATAATCTGTGGGATACGAAACTATGAATAATGATTGGTTTACAATAATCTGTGGGATATGAAACGGTGAATAATGATTGGTTTACAATAATATGTGGGATACGAAACGGTGAATAATGATTGGTTTACAAGAACCTGTGGGATACGAAACTATGAATAATGATTGGTTTACAAGAACCTGTGGGATACGAAACTATGAATAATGATTGGTTTACTAGAACCTGTGGGATACGAAACGGGGAATAATGATTGGTTTACAAGAACTGAAGTGAATAAAGTAACCGATAAACATAAAATGTTACTTTATTTAGTTCAAATAAAGAATTCTTATTACTACAAAGTTGTAAACAATTCTTGTTAATCAAACTAGTTTTGGAGAGATTTTGTTTTTATTTGGGAAGTTATTGTTTGTTATTAAGCAGAAAGTTACACAAAGGGCAATCTGTGTTTTGCCCACACGGGTATGGAAACCCGGTTTCTAGCAGACATACCACTATTGGGAAGACTTGAGATTAATATAGTTTATGTTTTACACAATGTTTATTTACGACGTTTCTAACAAACTACGTTCTTTGTGGGGATGATTTTAACTGTAGTTAAACTGTAGAAAATGTTATGAACTGTTATTTAACTGTAGTTTCTAGCAATTTATTCAGAACTAGAGAAAAATAGTTCGTGATTTGATAAATTAGAGTATTTACATATATCCTAAAATAGTCATAACAACAGTAATTAAGAATATAAATATTTAGATCTTACATATATAGTGTTTTTGGTTTGTCATTGTATAGTGGTGAAGGACGAGTCTTAGAAAGAAAGCCTTTAAACAAGAAATCTCGTCTTTAAATTGGTTATTGTAAATCGAGAAACAATCATCTACGAATCTGAAAATAAATATGATTTTGTTTATTAATTTTGATAAATATCTATGGTTTAGAAAGATACCAAACCTCAAAATTAAAAAAAAACATTCAATTAATGTCCAATTGTACACAGCTAATACGTAATTCTATGCAACATAACGAACGCGTAAAGACAAGCTAATTAACACGTGATTTCCTAAGTTTACCTTTTTATGTGTAATGAATTATTATATATAAGAAGGTTTATGTATGAACACGGTACACAACACGATCAGGGTTTACATCCGTTTCAGTATTGAGAAGAAAAATTTCAAGGTTCAAGAATTCAAATCCTGTATTTATAAAAGGTACGAGAGCTCCGTGGCCGTACACGGGATAACAATGGTTTAACATACGATTTAACTGTACTTCTGGTTATCGGTTTACTAAGTAGCCAGATGTTACTGGAGTGGAGCTTACTATAGTGGTGCCCCCCAGTGGCACAGCGAGATGTCTGCGGACTTACAACGCTAGAATCCGGGTTTCGATACCCGTGGTGGGCAGAGCACAGATAGCCTATTGTGTAGCTTTGTGCTTAATTACAAACAAACAAACAAACGAACTACATTGGTGACGTCACAGATGTGGGCTGTAGTATTTAGTAGGTAAAGTTGGTGTGGAAAGTGTAAGCCAGTTGCTTCACTCCAGTCTCCCTCCCCATACTTCTTTAGTAAGTACTGGTGTGATTGATATTCGTATGGTGTTGGAGAGTATGCCCGCCATGTTTTGCTGTGGATATGGAGGAATATTAATGAGTTGCGTCATGACGACTGACGACATTTAGAAGAGAATACCAACTGATATTTTGAGGGCGTTCTGACGTCACAGGTCCTATTAAGTTGGATATAAGAACCAACGTGAAAACAACAAGAGGGAATCTTCAATAGCCGTGTCACTTGAAATTATTTTAGGCAGGATTAGAGTAAATTTATCTATGAGACATTGTTTTTCCTTTTTGTTAGCTATCTTTTTGTGCGCCAGAAATACTAAGCGTGGGACTCGCGTACATCCGATTCAATTTTATTACTCATCAGAATCTCAACCAGTCTACCTTCAAATTGAAATTCTTTTAGACAGGATTAGAGTAAATTAATATATGAGACCTTGGGCATGGTCAAATACATCAATCGAAAGGGTTTCATCTCCTGAGCCCAAAACTGGAATTATATCTCAAATCGGTCAAGAGATGACGGAGCTATGAACTAAAAGTTTGTATTTGGAAAAAAAACAAAAAAACTCAGAGCCGTTCTATCAGCCGCTATGCCGCGGCTAAAAATTGATGAACGAAATTCTTGAGATCAGGAAGCACCAAAACTTGAACTTGCTAACCTTGTTAACCTGATATCTATTAGATTTCCTTAAACAGTCTGAAGACATTAGCTGATTTTTTACATGATAAATCTACACTTTACAGATGTGTTAACTTTAAGGCACGGGTTGATCTTATTGTGGAACTCGGGATTTCGAACCAGGCGAGTCGGGCTCTTATTTATGCTATACCACAAAATATAGCTTTAACTTTAAGTTGCAGGTGCGTTCTAAGAATGACAGTAGATGCCGAGAGTTACGGTTTAGCAGCATGGCTGACTTCTCTCTGACCAGTAGTTCAAAGTTAGGGACGACAACGGATAGTTTTAGTAGCTATGACATGAGGTTATGCTTTTGTAAACTTGAATTTGAGTTCTGCTACAACATGAAATATTAGAATTGTTTTAAACGTTGCTATTATGTCGAGGTTATATCGCATTTAAATAATTAAACACGGTTTACTTGTTTGTTTGTTGAATTTCGCGAAAAGATACACGAGGGCTATCTGCTATAGCCGTCCCTAATTTTGCAGAGGGATGGCAGTTAGTCATCACCACTTAGGTTACTCTTTTACCAACGAATAGTTGGATTGACCGTCACATTATAACG